AATCTGTCTCCCTATGTGAACACTATTAGGCAATCGGAATGGCTCTGGTGACTCTTGAACGTGCCTTTCCTAAGCTCCAGAAAACAGCTGAGTTCTGTTGAAGAGAACTGATTGTGTGATTGGAAAGAGCGGTCACCAGTGGGCACGAGTGGCCATCTCTATGACGGGTAAGACCTTCTATTGGCCTGACAGGGGGCAACCCAAGCCAGAGTGGATCACGTAAAGTCATTGGGCATCTCCTGAATGGAGGTGTGTTATGTGAGACAGGTATGAGGGTTGAGCAGGAGCTGTGAGGCCAGCAGCGTCCTTATGGCGTTAAGGGGAGATGACGCGGTGACGAGTCACGGCATGTCTCCCCAATAAAGCAAAGCTCCTCGATATATACCACTCGCCAGAAGAAACCGCATTAGTTGTATGGCTTGTTTTTTTATTGTGACAAGCGTCTGCAAATATGCCAGGGGAAAACACCCTGATGGAGATTATAGATAAAGGGCGAACAGGAGTGGGCTTTCAAGAGCCAGCTGAGGCCATGAAGTGATTCCCATTAGTTGTTGTGGAGACAGTAATACAATTTTTTTTATGTACTGGTTGCCTTATGGGCAAGGAAAATCATAGTGTTGATTTTGAACTAATAGGTCTATGACATAGTTTTAACTCCTGAAGGTCGTTAGACATGGTGGTGGCTAAAGATGAAGACAGCTTTTGTTGATTTAAGGAAAGTCTGGATGACAAAGGTGAATGGTCAAAGGTTATTGTAATGAATACAAATTTTGACTAAGTTACAGCCTTAGGAGGCTGGTGAAAAAATTATTTGTTTATAGTGAGAGAGACTGCTTGAGCGGAGGAAGGGATGGTAACTGTGTCTGTCTTTCTGTTATTGGCCTGCTAGAGCAAGCTGAAGCAAAATAATGATAATGAAACAAAACAACCCAGCTGACTTGTCTAAAAATCAAATGAATAATGAACAGATGTAAAATTAGGTAGAAGCTACAGGAAAAATGAAAAGGTTAAAATCTTATTTAAAATTTAAACCTTTAAGCAATAATATAAAGAAAAGTGAACATTGAGAATGAGCAGTTAACATATGTGTGTCTAGTACGAGTGTGCGTGTGATAGTGACAGCACTTTATGTCTTGTATGTATTAGTTTGGGGCACTAATATTCCGCCTGAATGGTGTGTATATTGCGTCATTAACCTCTGGAATGAGTTTATCATTACAGATGGGGTAAGGCAAATGACAAATTTTAAAGAAGCTGATAATTCTGATGAAAAGACAATACAGAACATGGGACAAGCTTTAAGTTGATTGGCCATCAAGCTCTGTCTGGTAGTAATAATTTTGTCATACATAATGTAGATTTGAAGATCAGTAAATTGGAATTGTGTAGTTGTAGATCACCATCTGGCATGGGCTGAGATAAATGAAAATGTTGTAGATTTGAGGGAAACAACAAAGTGACATATTGGCTAAGTCAACATGAAATTATCAAGAGAGCCTCTCACATTTATGATTATTGTGAACAAAGGGGGAGAAATGATTGACTGACAATGACCAAGTCTGTACAGCATGACCTGACCTGATAGAAACAATTGATGACTTTGGAAATGTTTGTAGATGACTGACTTGAGAGACCAAACAACAGGCCTGAAAAGCAGGATATGCTGTGAGACTGAGGGCCATTGCCCTTCAAATACTGCGAGAAGAAGATGAGATTGTGGCTTTAAGTGAAGAATGTAATATTTTTGTTTCAGAGACAGAGAAAGATGTCTGGAGGAAATTTGTCTTAAGGACAACGTTTGGATTAGTGTTGATGGCAAACTTTATCAAAAACACTATGTTAAATGTTATGTTTAATTGATGCTCGAGTTGTGTCGTGCATCAAAAGGGGGATGGTATAACAATTGCCAAATATGGTTTATTAAGGGGTTCACATTTGCTGAATAAATGTTGGGAGAACACTAGGGGTATTTGGATAAAAGCCCTGAAAGAAGCCATTTTTCTGCCTAACAAAATTGATGTCTGTGAGTGTGCACACACCAATAACAAAGATTGTTTCAACAGGAAACGCCAGGGCATCGAAGGACACGGGAGAACAGTAGACAAAAGAAACTACGTACTTTACTATCTGACAATAACCTCGAAATTTGTTTCTCTTTACAGAGAGCATGCAGGATTGGGAGACAGAGCAAAATGTGCCCAATAAAATAATGGTTATGGATGAATTTGGCTAACTGTCCTGGCCTGGGTTATTATTGTAGCAGAAAGGTGCCACACCTGCGCAGCGCATAAATTAAAATTTTCCTTTTACAGAATGTCAGGATGGATTGCATCAAGCTGAACTGATTCTGTTTCCAAATGTATGAATATTGACTTGTTAACGTAAGCAAAGTGGATATGTGTTTTTCAGGGGAAAAGGACTGAGTGCTATTAAGTGAGCAAGAAATTATCCGGTGATAATGTTTCAGATTGTTGAATCCACAGGTCACACCAAAGGGGACGAGCGGCAAGACAAGCGGTCACTAACAAAATACTTAAGGTCTCCATTCACAGGTGACGGGAAGCAGGAAATGGTTCATTCCAGTGGGGGTGCGGTGGTGATCTCAGGAGATCAGTGTGTCACCTGGGTCCAAGCCTCTCACCTTAGACAACACCAACAGGCCACAATCATCCCATAGTCCATGGGGCGAACGAGATGATCAACACGCCTGGAGGAGGATGTGAACCAACTAATGGTTTAAGAATGTGGTTTTGTGATTATTTTGAGGATTTGATTTGATTAAATCAAAATAGGGCTTAGTATTGATATATAGTAGATCAAAAGTTACTTATTCATTAGGAAATATTTAAGGAAAATGTTTTTGGGAAGAGAAGATCTATTAATTAATGTAAATTATAGGGATAATTGTTGAAGCTTATTAAGTAGAACCACAGCATGTTTGAATTAAAAGTTAAAAGTAAAAGAAACGGAACGTTTAACAGAAGAATCTGTTTTTGTGATGATTTTGTTTGATTGAATCAAACTAGGTATTGATTTGATTGTAAATGTAGAAAATATATTGATTGTGTCCGTAATGGAAATATTAGAGTTAATATTGAACAACTGCATTGGTTAGAAGAATGGATAGAATTATAAGACTTCTCTGGTTAGATTTTGTTAAATATGGCATTAAATAGAGCTTACTAAATTGAATTAGAAGTGAACACAATATGGTTAGGAAAACCGAGGTGAAATATGGAGATGGGCGTAGATTAATGGAAAAGGCTTAATGATAGGAGTTAGGATTGTTATTCTAATAATTTTGTTATTCATGGGTGAATATGATTACAGTGACAGGTGAAACATGCTGTCTGTTCAATTGGTGAAAATGACAGTCTATCCCAAGGATGAACAAAATTATGTGACGATACAGTTAGCGGGAGCTACAGTGAGATATGTGTTAAATGTATTTTCTGTTTGTTTTTCTTCTATTTGTTTATTTTCTGAGAAAGATTAAGGGCAAAAGATTTAAAGAAGGTTACAAGCAGCGGTCATCCGTGTTACGAGATGGCGTACAAAGATAGGGTTTGAAACTGAGTGATTTTTTATTATACTTTTATCTGTTTGTTTCCTTACTATGTTATAACTACCTTTTTCCTTACTGGCGTGACTGAGGGTCTGTTTACAGGAGCGCAGGAACAGTGATTTCTCGCTTAGCCCGGCCCAGTAAAAATGTTTACTTGCTAGCTAAAATATTACGGGGCCTTTCCCCCACAAAAACAGCCTTATGCTTCTTCATTCTAAACTTTTCTTCACAGGTTCAAGGAGAGTGATCATTTATGCAAAAATCAGAGATGAAGAGTATAAGTGTGATGATATGACTTAAAATTTGTCTTATTGTTTATTGTTATGATTATGGGTAATCAGAATGATAAAAAGCGGGAATTTGTTGTGGAAATTTTAATAGTCATTGATCCCTAACAGATATCATAAGAGAGAGAACCTATTCAATGTGTAAAATATAGATGATTCAAAGAATGTCACATGTGTGTCTCTCACTTGTAGTGAGAGAAGATTCTGTTTATGTACCTGGGGAGGCAGAAGAGGGAGACACTCCAGAGAACAGACGAACAAGGACCTCTGACCTAGATGTCAGAAGGCCATTTTGGTTCAGGGGGGCTTATTGGGCCAACTAGTGACGTCTATGGAAAACTACTGGGAGGAAGGCTCTGGGGGGAAGAAGGCCTTGAAACTAAGATAAAAGCTAGTTCAGTCTGTCTGGGGGTGTGTCACTCTTCTGCACAGGGTAACAACTGTGTATTAGACTGCTCCTATTCTTGCAAGAATAAATACTTCTATTTTATATAATTTGACTATGAGTGTCTCTTACGCAGTGATGTTTGTTTGAGATGAATTTTTGCCACAACAAACATCATAATAGGAGTATTTGGTTGAATGAGTTAGGATTAACTGTTTTATTAATCATTAGAATATAGACATTAAGAGAATAAAGTGTTATGCAAGTACTTTTACTTTTATTACTTAAAGTACATTTAAAATCAGGTACTTTTTACTTAAGTAGGGTTGTCATTGTGGTACTTCTACTTTCACTAAAGTAAATATGTCTCTTGTTATTTGTACTTTTACTTTGTACCTCCACCACTGGACCCCTGATGACGACGACTTCAATGGATCTAAAAAATTATCATAGCTAATAGACCATAGCTAATATTGTTACTGCAGAAATGCATCATCATAGTCTGTAAAAAGGATCAATTGCTGTCATTCTGACAGCGTTTAACAACTGTATAATTGCTCCAGTTCATCAAATACAACTCTCCCTGAAAAAAAGTTAATTTAGCTGCTCTATAACACAATTAAAGTCAGCTTCAAGATAATGCACATAATGTAGTTGACACAAATTCAATTAAAATATGTTAGACTATGTAGTGATGAATTTTTGAAAAAAGTTTTGAAATGTAGGGGGAAAAAAAGCAGAAAAAGCAATGAAGTATTCTTACCTCCCCAGGACAGTGTTGGGAACAGTGTCTGTACTGTCGTACACCTCCACATAGTCAAACTCACAGACATCCTGCGTTTCCAGACTGAAATTCTGAAAGCTTAGTCTAACAACTTGTCCATCTTCCACAGATATTTGCCACGTACACAACTATAAGAGAGCAGTCAAACATTAAGTGGTTGAGATAACTTAAATAAATAATATAATAGAAACAGTCATGCAACAGTAACAAATAATAGTTACCATATTTTCCGCACTATAAGGCGCACTTAAAAGCCTTTAATTTTCTCATAAAACGACAGTGCGCCTTATAATCCGGAGCGCCTTATATATGGATGGTGAACACACGTTCACCAAGACGGGGAGAAAGCGCGCCACTATCTGCCAATGGATCGTGGATGCCTGGGCTGATATATCAGTCTCAACTGTGATCTGAGCTTTCACGAAGGCAGGAATAATCTCTATATTCAGCCGGCTCATATACCCGTATTTACTTCCTGTTTTCGGCCGAAGTCCACAGTAGTGATTGTTGAGTTCGCGCGCGCGCGCGCGATCAAACCTCCTCCGTGTATTCAACATCTGATTCGGATGAACTATCTATTTGAGCTGATATTCTCAGAACACCACACAGAACCGTCATCGGCTGACAGCTGACAGTCTGAGTCTCCACTGTTGCTTAGTTACCAATGATCGCGCGCGTGCACTCGACAATCGCCTACTGTGGACTTCGACCGAAAACAGGAAGAAAATACGGGTATGTGCAGTCAGATTCACCGTGTTCACTCACATGGCTGTGCACTTGTAATGACACATTAAGGTTGTTAAGAGGCTAAAAGCAGGTTTAAAACTTGCCCCGTTTAAGTCAACAGGGTGCAAATTTTAAAAAGAGGATAACACGTGTAGGCAACACCGGTTTTTGTCGTTGTTATCTGTACTGACAGCACTCCAAATTTACAAAAAATGAGCTCAATGTTAAAATTGACCGGAGTTTTCCTTTAACGTTTGAACGTTTTGAACTGGGAGTGAACGGAGTTGTCAGAACGCTTAATAAAGTTTGACTTTATCTGACTGTTTTGTTGACATTTGTTGACATCTAGTGGATGCATAATGCAAACCCAGTCAAACGTTTGACTGCAGTATCTTATGCGCCTTATAATCCGGTGCGCCCTATATATGAAAAATGTTCTAAAATAGGTCATTCATTGAAGGTGCGCCTTATAATCCGGTGCGCCGTATAGTGCGGAAAATACGGTACTTAATAGTTGGCCCACTGAACCAATACGTTAATTGATCAGTGCACAGCAAGGTTGGCAGGACTGGTCAACACCTCCATATATAATACTTATTCCATATGCCAAGATGTTTCCCAATCATAGCAGTGGGTATTTACTTTGAAGTCTTAAAAAAGACATTGCCTTTTAAAAACTGACCCATGGTTTCACAGACAAGGTTTAAGCCTTATCCCACACTAAAATGCATGTTTGAGCTGCTTTAACTGAAAGCAACTTGCAGTGATATATGCCAGTGCCATTGTTTTGTCTCAAGATGCACACCAGTTATGTTTTCTTTTCAAAGGCATGTTTATAAAAGCTACTTAAATGCCCTAAGTGAACTAAGGCCTAATTCTGGCTTAATCTAAGACCTGTCTGTGAAACCAGGCCTGTGTGTTTTAAATCAGAGGGTCTGAAACAGGGTAGAAACTGAAAGTGCACAACAACATATCTGCATAATTCGCAGACAACAGTGGTTCAACCTTGCGTGCGTCTTCCTCTGCTTGTAGGTCATATGTCAGAACGCCAGGTCCTGCGTCATCTCGTGAACGTCAAGTCAAGTCATCTTCATTTATATAGCGCTTTTAACAATGGATTGTTTCAAAGCAGCTTTACAGAGATAAACATATAATTTAAGGTAATGTTTTGGCGTTATAGCGGTTCTTGAATAATGTTACTTCCAGCTAAAGTTAACTTTGCTTGATTCACCTCCGTCGAAATGATCAGACTTTAAACGCGAACCTGTGATTAACGCTGACGGCGTTCACATGCTCATTCAGAATTCTATAGTTATGTGCTTTTTAAAATATGTGCGCAGGTTTGTAATTCATACAACCCAGCCTAAACAAACTACTTTTCTTGCCTATAAATTTTGATACAGAATTTTGTTTTATTTTATCACTTCGGGGTACGCGAGCCAGAATTCACAGCGCTTTATCTGTAGAGTGGGAAAGGGATCCTCCATAGGGAGAGGATAGTGGATACTTCAGCACTGCATTGTCATCGGGTCCAGGCAAAGCTCCCTCGTCAGATCTGGACACTGCCTGGATCCGGCAGGCTGCGGGAAAACCTCGGGATATACAAAGACACTAATATTAGCGTAGATGCCATTCTTCTTATGATGTAGCGAGTACATCAAGATTTAAGGGAAGTGTTCCCAGTTCCGGCTGACCTAATCTATGCAGCCTAACATTGAATTTATAGAAGTCTATAATGTATTATGTGTATGCAAGGTCAAAGAGATGTGTTTTTAGTCTAGCTTTGAACTGACAGAGTGTGTCTGCTTCCCGGACAGTGGTAGGAAGACTGTTCCAAAGTTTTGGTGCTAAATAGGAAAAGGATCTACCGCCAGCAGTCGATTTAGATATTCTAGGTATTATCAACTGGCCCGAATTTTGAGATCGCAATAGACGTGAAGGACTATAATGCGTTAAGAGCTCGCTCAAGTACTGCGGAGCTAAGCCATTTAGTGCTTTGTAAGTAATCAACAATATTTTAAAATTTATACGATGTTTAAAGGTTCTCTAAGCGATCCTGGGTGACGTCACTTCTTGTTGACGTTCGAACTATTGTCAAACAAAACGGAGGCTAGCTAGACCCTCCCTCCTCCTCATCCGCACACTAACCCCCCAAACCACACCCCCAAACCCTTCTTGTCGGTCATTGGCTGGAACAGTTTGTTATGTTTTGGGGAGCGGGTCGCTGCAGTTTGTTTTTGGTGCTGTTTGTGAAGCATGGGCTGTCTACAGAGATCGCGTTTCTTTACAGTGTGTTCAGGGGACAGGCAGCCAGCGGATAGTGAGGAGATGTTTGCTGTATGTGACAAAAAATGTTTTGGCCTAAAAAACACATGACATCGCTTAGAGCACCTTTAATAGGGAGCCAATGCAGTGTTGACAGAACCGGGCTAATATGGTCATACTTCCTGGTTCTGGTAAGAACTCGAGCTGCGGCGTTTTGAACTAGCTGTAGTTTGTTTATTAAGCGTGCAGGGCGTTTGTTTATTAAACGTGCTCTTGTGAACTGAATAAAGTCGATATTCTGTTTTTTTGGCACACAAAAAGTTTTCTCGTCGCTTCATAAAATTAAGGTTGAACCACTGTAGTCACATTGACTATTTTAACAATGTCTTTCCTACCTTTTTGGGCCTTCAAAGTGTTAATTAAAAAGCTGTCAATGGAGCCCCCCTGCGCCATCGGATTTCATCTAAAATATCTTAATTTGTGTTGCGAAGATGAACGAAGGTCTTACGGGTTTGGAACGACATGAGGGTGAGTAATTAATGACAGAATTTTTGGGTGAACTATCCCTTTAAGTGGCCCTTTGAAAGTAAATGCATTGCCTGTGTATGAAATTGGGGAAGGAAGTGCCACTGCTGTGGAAGAACAAACCACAATAAGAAAGATTACAAAGAAAGAAAGATTCTATTACAAAGACCAGCAGTGCCATAACTGTACACAAAAGATCACATTTCTCAAGTGTGTAGAATTAAAGGTAAAAACACAACTGGATGTAAAAAGGCAAAGTCAGTGAGGATGAAAAAGTTTCAACAAAATAAGTGTGTTACAACAAAATAAGTGTTACAACAAAATAACTCTCACGTAGGAGCGGAAGCATAAAGGTGGAGCGACGACAGTGAAGATCGAGGGAGGAACAGGCCTGGTCTTTAGTTGTGTTTTATGTTTCATTATATGTGACAGCAGTTGTCCGTGAGGGGCTGCTGTCTTTTACCTTCGTTTTGTATTTGTTTATTTTATTATTAAATTGTGTGTTGAATGTTCGGCGGTTCCTGCTTCCTTCTTCCCACAACATCTAACTACGTTACATTGGCATTGCATATAATGACTAATAAAAAAGTGTCGCACATCACTGGCTACGTTTACATGCACAACTTTTGTTTCAATCGGACGGAATTCATTCCGATTGGTGAATCCGAACATAGTGTTTACAAAATTTGTTGACATGCACAAGTTTCCCGCTGTTTGCCCATAATAACCATTCTAAACAGCAGACTTAATATTTATCCATTTCTGGTCATAATTTGGAGACAATGAGCATATTTCCGTCATTGGTATAAGTAGCAGTGGGTGTGGTTATAGAACAAGAAATGTACATTTTACACCATGCTGATAACATTTCTTTAGTCATTTGGCAATCCTGCAGCCTGAACCCCTGTAGTAAAACCACCCTTACAATTGGTTTTTTGGTATTGGGCTACTTTTAAGTTGTTGCTGCGGCATTTTTTTCCAAGGGTTGATTTCCACCCATGTAAGTATGGTTTTGGTGCTCCAACACCCCCTAAACACCCCCCACATGTGCAAATTCAGTGGAGAATTGGGCTAGGTGTCATTTTAGTCAAAGTAAAAATTAAGAAGCAAAGGGAAAGACTACCACTCTACTACACAAATAATTGTCTTTTTTAAATGCTTTTTAACATGTCATGTTATTTAATCCAAAACATAAACAATAAATAGATTAAAATAAATAAATAGATTAAAATGTGTTTCTTTGAGCGCCTTGCGATTGCTTAGCAACGCGTCGTATCTGAACGGACTGCAAAAAAAGCGTGGTGCACCTGAAGTGACAGAGAAGTATGTGGAGAGATGAGCGGGCCTCAGCAAACTTCATTGGCTAATTTCATTGCGGACAGTTCCGGTAAAAGGAAAGGCGATGACCAACTTGAAAATAGCGAGAGAGAGAGAGAGAGAGAAAAAAAAGAGTCAAGCTTCAATTGTAAATACGATACCTCATACATTAGGTATGGAATTATGACAACAGGCGATTCCGTGGCGCCAAATCTGTTGTGTGTTATTTGTGGTGAAAAACTCGAGCAATGAAGCCATCAAAACTTCAGCGGCACTTAACCACCAAACACCCAAC